AGCCCTCACCCCCAGGCCCTCCTTCTCCCTCTGTACCCCTCACCTGTGGCGGCAGGGGACAGTACCAGCGAGTTCGAGGGGTTGGGGGGGCTGGTGACCCCAGGTCTCCCCCACTGGGGCCCAGACAGCCCCACCCAAACCGCCTCAGGGCCCGGTGAAGTCGAGGGGGTTGCAGTGGGGGAGCAGGTGGAATGCAGGAACCCTGATCCTGGAGACCACCGTAGCCCCTTCCCCCCAGAGCTGAACCCCAACCCAGCAGAAAACCAAGATACAAAGGGAAGGAGGGGGAACTGAGACAGAAAGCCAGAGACAGAGACCTTGAGAAGCTGAAACCTCAGTCAAAGGCACAGCCGCATGCTCCGCCCTCCCCCAAGGAACTGACCAAGCCCTAAAAGTTAGTCTTTCCCTTCAGCCCCCTTTCCCCTGGTCCCTAGAGACGCCCCCCCCTCAAGGTGGCGGCTCTTATCCCAGTACAGGAAGGAGAAGGGGAAGTGGGGATGATGGGGGGCGGTAGACTCTTGAGTGTCACGTGCCTCCAGCCCCTCCCCCAACCGATCCCGAAAAACCAGCCCTGCCAGTCACTCTGCCCTCACCCAGCCCCAGGACCCAGTAGTCCAGAGCCTCGGGGCCCCAAATCCAACTTCTGGACCCTCCTGAGGCCCCAAATCCTGCTCCTAGCCACTACCATTAGTCCTGGAAGAGAGCAGGTAACTACCCTGGGTTCGCCCTGGGATCGTCCCTCCAAAATCCAAGAACCTAGGTTTCCCGCCTCCACCCGGCACCAGGCGGGAGAGGGGGAGGGGTCACGAAATCGAAGGGTTCCCTCCCCAATCCCAGAGTCCGAGGAGCCGGTTACCGTGGAAACAAACCCCTCCCTGCCAAACAAATACAGGGAGGGAGACAGGGACCCAGACACAATGGCCAAAGAGGCAGGCACCCTCGGGCACAGGTGGACAGCGCCCGAGACCCGCAGGCTGCCAGCCAGGCGCCCCCGGCCGTAACTGGGCGGGTTCCCGCGGGCAGGCCTGAGCCACACCGCCAGGGAACCACAGAAACGCCGGGCTCCCCGCAGCCGGGGCAGGCGCGGAAATAACCGAGGCAGGGAGAAGGAATTCAGGGACACAGACTAGGAGAGAAAGAAAGGTGGAGTCTCTGAAATACAGCCCCCCCAACTCCCACCACCCGCATCTCACCTCGTCTTCTTCCTCCTCCTCTTCCTCCTGCCCCTCGCCCACGCCCTGGCCACTTGGGCCCCCACCCTCTTCGGGGTCTCGGCTCCGGAAGCTGCTCAGCACTACTCCCCCGGAGGGGCTCGTGTCCCAAAGCAGCCGTAGGGGCCGCGGGAGCATGGCCGAGTAGTCAGCGGGGTCGGGCCATGGGGGCGCCTGG